GTGGATAGTGTTTAGAAAGTAGGGTTTGATCTATTCTGTAATTGTCAGAATATCAATTCATATAAATCGAGATAAATTTTAAGATATATAATTTTTTTCTTTCTTTGTTTGATAAATTTAATCCTTAACTTTGTAATTTCTCTAGATATTTATTTCAAATAATTAAGGACAAGATTCAAGTGGTTACACTAAAATCATCTTCAATCACCATTGATTTTAAATTAAATTAAAAAAATAACTAAAGCAAAATCTTATCACTACTAATAATTATCTAAAATTATTAAATGATGATATTGCAGTATATAAACCTTAACATTGAAAATGAATAAAAATATATAGAAATCAAAAAGTGAATTAGATTGGGTAATATAAAAATTTATAAATAATCTCATTTTAAATATTTGAAAAAAATAAAAATTATTTAGATCAATCCATCCCGTTTGGCCATTTAGCTCGCATGAATGGAAATTATGTGAGACAGACCTAATCAAATTATGTCGACGTATACGATCAACTCGTAATATGACTCGTATTAAAAAGACTATCTATTCTCTTATTAGACACCAATTTTGATGAAAAAAATGTAAATGTACAAATTTTATATCATATCTTTTGTATTTTCATTAACAAATTTTCATTACACAAATTTTGTTTTCTTTACATAATGGTCAAAACAAACTATACAACAATATAGTAATTTAAAATTTATTTATTAGTTTATCTATAAAAAAATTGTGTTTATAAATAATAACATCATCATCATAAAAACAAGTTTCCAATAGGAATAAAATTAATAAATATAATATAAAAATACACAATGATAATAAGTCACACATTATTATCATATTACAATATAAATATAAAGTTTGGCAATTAACTTTTAATTTAGAATGAATCAGTTTGACACTTACCTTTACATTATAAATATAACTCTGTCAATTGTTGTTACACATGGATTTGATATATATTATTTAGTTGGTAAGTATTTATAAATTTGTCTTATTACTATTTATTATTATTTATTATTTTAGTTTTACTAGTAAAAAAATAACAAAAGATGACTTATTTTAACCATAATAATTATATATAAATAACATTTAAAAAGATATGATGATATTTTTGAAATTATTTTTAACTTTTAATGATGGTCCATTTTTAACCTTATTATATGTGAAATATGATGATCATTTTATAATCGTTGTCATATGTAATATACAATAATAGTTATAAAAAAAATTATCATATCTCTATCTTTTAATAACTATTTCTTTATAATTCTCATTGTATCTTATATATGACAATGGTTATTAAATAATCGTCATTGTATATCATATACAATAATGATTATAATTAAAATTGACATCGATGTCTTATTATATTTCTCCGTGATCCAATCTCTCAGTTCTTCTCCTCCTCTCATTCAACTCTCCTCTTGATTGGATTGTTTATGGTATTTAACTAAAGTTATGTGACCAAGTTCCTATCTTTTCATTCTCGCCTTCGATTCTTCTCATTCAACTATCTATTTCTCTTTCTTTCTGAAACATTTGTTTCCATCACAAATTTCTTTAATGTATAGGTGGAAGATGAGTATGATGTGGAGGATGAGTACGAGGTGAATGATGATAGAAGATAAGTTACAGAATGTTCAAGTAGAGATATATTACGTGTAAGAAAGTAATGAAACCTTTTGAATTTATTGCGAAGAAGCAAAATCTACTGCAACGAACCAAGATTTGTGATACATGACATATGACAATTGTATTTATAACCATCATATTGGTAACTTACAACAATGGATCAAAACTATCGTCAGTTTCACAACTTTTAACGATGACTACAACAACGACAATTATAAACCTATCATTATATGTCTTTTTTACCCATAGATGAATTATTTATTTGTAGTAATGTTCAATGTTATTCATGTAAATTGCTGACAATACTAATAATACAATATTATTTTATAAAGATATATAATGGGAATATTATATATAATGGGAATATTAATAGGTGTTGGTACTTGAAGAGAATTGGAGAAAAATTAGAAAAAAAAAAAAAGTTCCAACATCATATGCTTAAACGCTGGTGAGTATATTGTTTTCACCTAAATCATTAATGTTTAAGATGTTTAAATATTTACTCATTCATATATGAATAATTTTTAACTACCTTTTATTTATTTTTTTCATATCAGATTTATAGTAGAGTGTACATTGTTTGGACAATATATTGATGAACTAAATGTTTTTCTTACTTTTGGAAATGTTCAAAATCCTTTCATAATCATATATATAATTCAGTAAGGTGAAATTTTTTCAAGATAACTACTTTCTATGTTTTACCATGTATTATGTAATATAACTACTGCCATTATGATATTATAATTGAGATAATGTTATTTACAGAGAGAGAAAGTGTATGTTCAAAATTATATGAAATGTACAAGGATCATTTTTAATGTTGTAGTGTGAAGAAGATATATAGCTTTAAAAAAGGTCTACATTTGTATTTTCAACTTAAATTTTTATCAATTACTATATGCACTGAATGATCACTATAATAAATGTATGTTTTGATTGATGTAGAATGTTCAAGAGTGTAAGTCATTATCCCAAGGCTTAAGCCAACTTTGAGTCTTCTAAACAAATTATCAAAGATGAGTTCCTTAAATATACTCATAGAAATACAATAAAAGATTTAAAATATTTTAAAGAGGTATCGTAGTCATATTATATAAAACATATTTCAATTATTACATAATGTATTAGTCTATGAGTTTATTCATTAGTCTATTCATATTAATTATTATTGATCATATTGATTGTTATGGGAAACATGTTTTGTAGTTTTTAAAACTATAAAACATATTCTTTATGATGATAATTGGTGGTTTATAACTATACCCATATTCAAAAATATTTTTCTATGAAAAATATAATCAATATGTCATCAAAGTCCTACTATATACTTTGTAATACTAATGACATGGTGGTGACAACTTTTAAATGAGACAACATAATAAACTTGGAGGTAGACGAAGATATTTCTTTGAAAAAAAATTATAAAGATTGAGAAAAAAAAACCTTTATATATTTCATTTATTAGGTTTATTTGAGTATTATGAATATTTTTATTTGAGTTATGTACTTTAGTTATTGTGTAAATATTATATGTATGCTTTTGTTTGGTACTTTTCTCAATTTATGTATGTGTTTGATATTCACGTTTTAAATGATTCATTGACATTTATTTATACAATGTTGAGTACTTGTAATAGCCTTGAGATAACATAAAACTAGTTAGATGATGTTATTTTAAAAAACTCGAGTATTTGTAAAGTTTTGAAACTTTATAAAAATATGAGATTAAATACTATAAGAATATAGGAGAATGCAAGGAATATAAAAAAATTTGTTAATTGAATATTGAACGTACGTGATAGATATATGAATCTTAATGAAAATAGTGAAAGTCATATTAAGGTATAAAAAGATCTTTTAATGATACATTTTATTTTAGTTGATTTTATTTATCCTAATTTATGTCTAACTATTGAATTTGTAAAAGAAGTAGTTGAATTTATTTTGTGTTTTTAATACCTGGTGAAAAAAAGTTACTTAAATTCAACCACATCTTGTCAATTATATAATAATCAAAAAATTTATATCATAGTTTCTAAATAACTTTAGATGTTTAAGAATTTCAAATCATTACTTCACGTTGAAAGTTAACATGAGAGTTATGTTTTTGAGAAATATTAATCAAACTAACCAATAATTTAAGAAAAAAATATTATTTTACTTAGTGTGATATTAAATATTGGTGACAAAATATTTATACAAGAATAATTTGAATAATAAGATTTCTCTTCAAACTTCAGGTAAGATAATATTTTTTTTTATATTTTACAATGATAATAAACAAGACAATTTTTACGTCAAATATAACTTTATTTCCACTACATGATTAATATATATTATTCTATCAAGATTAACAATAAAAAATTAAAAATTCTAATTACAAACGAAAAATCAAATATATATTTTTTTAATAAAAAATTATAATATAAAAAAAAATATTTGAAAACCTTTATTACATATTCAATTCTTTAATATTATTATATTTTGTTACTAATTTAAATTTTAATCAAATGTAGATGTTAAAAGAATATAATGATGTACAAATGATTATCTGTTAAATGCAATTTAAACTTATGTTATAAATAATATTTGAATAATGTCATAATTAACCTTCTCATTTATCATACTTATATATTTAATATTTTTTAAGGTCATTTTATTAATTTTTAAATATATAACATAATCTCGTGCACTTAATCAATATAAAAAAATAGAATATTAGGGTATAATGTTTGAATAAAGATAACTAAACTGCTAATGTTGATAATTGATAAATAAAGATATAATTATGTGTGATTATGACGAACGTTTCATCTAATAATATTTTAGATAAAGTTTTTGTACATTAAAAATAAATAAGTGTTTTGATAACATACTAATGATGCATCTACCATGTTGAAATATGAACTTAAATAAATGGAAAGAAAAATTATGTAATTTACACAAAGAAAACTTATTTAGATAAATATATCTATTTTTCAAAAAAAAAAGTCAACTTAATGAAAGAAATTAAATAATATTTAATGTTATATATTTTGTTATCAAGAAATGTTATTACTGTAACTTTCACTAAATTTAGCTGATAATAAAGAATATAAAAGGATCTATTATAAAAAGTTTATTAATGTTTTGGCAAGATAGTAAGTAGTGTGCTCCTTGTTGTAAGGAAGATGACTAAAATTCTTGAAACATACGTAAACACCTTTGTCTCCAATAATCACAGTAATCTAAGAATCATGGGACCCAATTAATTACATTGGTTGAAAATGGGTAGCATTTTTAGGAAAAAACATTCAATGACAGAGGAGATAACGGCTACATGGGACCACTTTGAGTGCTTTTGTGTCCTTTTCGTAGTGCAAAGTGCAAACCCTTCACCAATCACCCCTTTCTTCCCTATCTTCTCCATTTGCTTCGACTCATCAACTTTTTCTCTTCCCCTCAACTTGAGTTACCCTTTTCCCCGCTCACTTTGTTTCACACTACTGCCAAAGCAAAATCCATTTTTTTGTTCACCTCAGCATTGCGTATGATGAAGAACAACCCCAGTTATTGTGTGTTGCATTTCTTTTGTTGTTTTTCTTGTTGTCTCCTCTTGCCAGCTCTTGTTCTCTCCCACCACATCTATGGTAAGTAAAGTTGCATTTTTTTTTTCTTTTTTTTGACATTTTGGTGTGTTTATGAGCATTGTGTCTGTTTGTTGGTTATCAGGACAGTGTAGGCATGGCTATTAAGTGACAAAATGTTGCCCTTAATCTATGAATGTTTCTGTTTTCTCTATTTTTGGTGATTCTGCAAGGTTGTTAGTTACTTGTACTTTTATAAGTTCAAACTCACTTTTGTCTTTCGGCTTTGAAAGTTTCCATCCTGTTCTGGATCTCTGATTCCCGATACATTCCTTCAATGAGAGAGGTTTCAGTAAAGGTTTCCAAATTTTGGTCCTTGCATATATAATTGTAGTCCGAAATTTTCTTAAGAATTTTCTCAGTAACTTTGAAATTAGTGGAGAAAAAAAAGGGATTTAGAGTGAGAGCTGATAGTAATGTGCAGAAGGAAGAGAGCTACAGAATTGAAATCAAATTCTTAACTTCTAAAAATGTAGTATTTGGAAATTGAAAGGTTTATAATTTATGTTGTTGAACTTAGAGTATTCAGCATTGGCATATTCATGAATGTTTTCACCATTGTTTTTAATGTAGTTTTAGCCATTTGTATCTCCAAATGTTCATTGTTCACTACCTTCCCTAGTTGTTTATAATTGAAAGCATAACACTAGATAGATTGCATTGGGAAAGTTGTGGAACCAGATAATTTTTTGAAAAGTTGAATTGTTGCCCCATATTCAATCTTTGGTTTGCTTCATACCATCTTGAATTTGGATGGGAACTCAATTCCAAAACTAGTTTATGAGATGAGGAATGTGTGAAACTCTGTAAGGTCTAGTTTGGTAATATTTATAGGGATCAACTAGAAAAGTAGATTAGACTCAAACCTTATAAAACCTAGCTTAGCCTAACTCATTTCCCAAATATGCCTAACCCTATCTATGTTTAGAACATAATTCCTTTTAATTAGTTATTGAATTTGGAGAGACTAAATCAGTCAATCCAAATTCTTTTCAATTGATAGATTTAATCTCTGGCTTCTCTGGTCTTGAGGTTGATGGCAATGCATATAGTGATTTGGTTTCCAAAAGTTATTTTCCCTTGAATTTAAAAGATATGTTAATTAGATATGGTAAATGACTTGCCATGGAGTGCAGGCTAGATTCTTTACTTTTCACCTTTCTTTCTGGTGTTCTGAGAATATTTTTGGAGTTCTGTATTTGGATTTTATCAACTTAATAACCATAGCATTTAATATACTAATTGGTTGGAGAAATCTGCATTAGTCTGAGTATTATAAATTGAAATTTAGTCAAATTGCTTTGGTTTTTAGAAGGGCATATTTTATGCAATAAATGTAGTGGAAATGTGATTATAAAACAGGTTTTGGGGATAATCAATCTTGTAAGAGGGCAAACTTCTGTCAACTTTATGTCTTGTGAATAACAGTAAAGATTAAAGGCATGCTTTCTGAATGGCAAAATGAAACATTCTCTCTGCTTAATTTTTATTGATCTATAAGACTCTTTTCAATAATGCTAAATTAGACTTCTAATGCAGGTTGAATATAATATGACCTGTTGATTTTTGTTCTAGAATTTTGGTGTTTTATGAACTTATTTCGTCTAGTATTCTCAAAAGATCACCACAAGACAGTTTGTATCATTTGCTGAAATATTTAGGTATGATTGGCTGCTTTGTGATTTAAACTAGAGTGTCTACCCAAAAAATGAAACTAGTGTTAACCACACTACTTTGGCAATTGAGATGAGGATTCAAAAGTACTTTAAAAAATAGGAAATGTGATCAATATGGAATTGAAACTTGGTGAATACCATGTATGGGTTTCAAAGTCTGTACAGTAATTTTAGTGTTCATATGAAGAATTTGTCTCTAGTACCATTAGGAAACTTATGATTATCATTAGGAAACAACTAACATTTTTTAACAATTGTTTTTAAAGCCAAAGCCCTTGTTCACATTGTGTACTTGGTTGTAGTACTGATGATAGATAGCATTCCATTTAGGTTAGCAAGTCCTTTAATAAATCTAATTAGCCCGAATCATATATCTTTTTGTTCCTTTTAGGCTTATTAGAACTATTTTGCAGTAGAGAATTCAATTCCACAGAAAAAGCATCTATCCATGTTCTTAGTAGAACTATGGTGGTTATATCTACCTCATGAAGTCAAGGAAGACTAGCTCAGTTGGTTGAGTAGGGTACGTGAGTTGTTTATAAACTCCATGATAGGTCCATAGGTTGATGACAAAATAACAATTTCACAGGTAAGGTTTTCTTCAACAGGGACATGGAGGAGCTATGCATTATTTTCTCAATGGTTCATTTTATACAATAACAGAATCAGGTTTTGTAGTATATTCTTTATTTGATGCAAATACTAACCATACTTTTCATCATGGACGCAGAATCAATCTGATGATAAGTCAATTGAATAGAAACAAGATAAACATAATCTTTCATGCATATGTATGTGTGCATGCACATCTACTTTATATCATCTCTCTGAAATCAGCTTGATGATGTTTCTCTCAGGAAACCCTGCTAGTGACATCGTTGATATTATAAACAAGAATCGAACAGATCAAAAGCTTCCTCACTTGAATGACAGCCCTGGTTTAGGGTGCATGGCCTTACAATATGTTGAATTATGCAAAGGGAATTGCACTGATAACAATGCTGTAAACTGCAAACCCCCTGAAGATGATTTCACTGAAGTGTTTGCCCCCAACTGTGGCGTAGAGCTACCAACTTTTGGCACCATAACTGGACACATTGTGGGTTGTCAAAGAGACTATCTTGAGCCATCATTAGCATTTTCTCAAGTTCTCATCAAAGATAAGAAATCTGTGTCTCTTTTGAAGAACAGATCACACACTGAGGTGGGAGTCGGCCTTGTTGGTCTCCATAAAGGTCCTTTCTTTTGGTGTGTTTTGTTTAGCAATGGACAGACAAACTCCACGTTTGTGCTTGAAAATCGTGGTGCTGGAATCCAGCAAAAAAACGGGTGTTATAGTGGGAGCAGTACTCCGTGCAGTGGGGGACAGAGAAGTAGTGTTAGTGTTGCATTTTTTAACGTATTTTTCATCTATTGTGTGTCCATCTTGCTGTTTACACTTTTGTGATCGGTTTACAGTAATGCTAGATCTTCACGTGACAGTTCTTGAATTGGTTTTCTTCAGTTTCCTATAATTTGTTTCCTAACATTTTTAAATTAATCAGAAGTATTATCTGGTTTCATAAAAATAGTAGATATCTAATTTAAATAAAGTGAGAATTATACTTGTATTAAAATGTATTTTTAAGATTATAAGAGATTTTTTTTATAACTTTAATATATTTTAGAAATAATGAGATATCTAATTCAATTTTACAAAATTAGTTTAGTAAAATGATAATTATATTTTTATATATTATTATATTTTTAATTGATATGAAATTGTTTTAATATAATTTAAAATTTTAATTTGTCATATTTTTATTGTTAAAAGATGTTTATTTATTTATAAAATTTTAATTTTTTTTAAGTCATAAACTAAAAGTTATGTTCTGATTTTTTTTTCAGAGAAATTGATACTAAAAATAGTCTATAATTGAAATATTTTAATCTATTATTTTGTAAAGATAAAATAATGAAGAATTTAAATTAGAAATAGAAAATATCATTAATCATGTTTATGGATATAAGTGATATATCCATAAACATGTTGAATAATAAATATTAACAATATCAAGTAATTAATATTAAACATTATTACAAAATCAATCCTAAAAATTCTCTAGAAAATACTTTTTTTTTTTAAATTGAGGCAGAAAAATGTTTTCTTGGTGGAATCTCTTACAACATATCTAAAATATCCATCCAACTATTAAAAGAAAAGTCACATCAACAATTTTATTAAATCATATAAATTTTCAAAGCAGTATACCTAGTGCCTCGGGTATAATAAATGAATGATAAGTTCGTATATATGTTACTAAAATAATTTGATGAGTATCCTATGCACAATGTGGTCAACGGTCAACTCAATTTGTGAAGAGCATAATTCACATATCAAGTATTTTAGTTCACATGCTAATAGAAAAGCTGTATATGATTTTTATAATGTGTGAAAAATTATTGGGTTTGTGATAATTACAATACTTCATGCATGATTAGTTTCTAATATAGTATTTCCTCTATATTACTTAATATATGTGATTTAAGATTGATTATATTAATTAAAAATCATTAATTTTTATTATTCTTTATAAATAGAAAAAAACAGAAAACCTATAAATTTTTAATCCCCATATTTATGATTATGGTTTATAGTTGAATAATTTGTGAGGTATGTAGCATTAATTATGCATATATCGTAAACCGCGTAAATAGTTATTATGACTTGGCTTACATTAATTTGTTGTCATTTTCTATGATCTCTCGAGTTCCAAAATTAGAACACCTGCTTTAATGAAGGCATTTATTTATAGAATCTATTATTAATATTATTCATCCAGTTTACTCATAGTAACATTTTAGAAAGAAAAATAATTTTTTATTTATTTGTTTAAAACAAAATATATAAAGAACTTCTCATTTTTTAAATAGTAAATAAATTAAAATTAAATAACTACATAATTATAACTATTTATGTATTTATTTTTAAAATATAAAAAATAAAATTTTGAAAAAATATCACTTTTATATGTTCTCTTTCTTTTCTCATAATATCTAAATAAAAAAATGATTAAATATAAATTTGTCTTTGTATTTTTTTCATAAAAATTATTCGGAATTTATATTTTAAAATTAAACTAATTCGACTTAAATTTTAAAAAATACATAAATTTAATATTTCAATTAATTTTATAATAATAATAATAATAATAATAATAATAATAATAATAAATATTACTAAATCGTGTAAAGAAATATTACAAATTAGTCCTTCAAATATTTTTAATAGTTTAAAGATTAAATTGATCAAAATTTAGGCAATAACTTACTGATTTTTATTTCTACAGTAACATCCCACATAAATAAATAAATAAATAAATAAAATTATTTTTGATGTAGATATAAAAAAATTTTAAAATGAAAACTATTTTTTTATAAGTATATATATATATATATATATATATATATAAATCCACGTGAAATAAAATGTTATTCATCATCAAAACTCTACCATCTATTAATATTAAGCATAATATGAAATAAAAATATATCTTTTAAATGATGTAATAGTTAAATGTACAAGTATATATATATATATATATATATAATAATAATAATAATAATAATAATAATAATAATAATAATAATAATAACGTATTGTTTATCATTGTCAGTTTTCAATATCTTATTTAATAAAAGAATAAAACTAAGAAAAATTTACCTTATGCAACATAAGATTAATAAATATTAAAAAAAATATAAAAAATATAAAAACCTAAACACTAGGATATATATATAATAGATTTTGCTGCTATATTTTATTTTTTTTACAGTTTTTAGAAATATGAGTTGATATTTTAATATTTACTACAAGAAAAAATACATTTAGCCACTGAAATTAGCGACCGAATTTTTTCGGTCGCAATTAGCGACCGATTTACTTTTGGTCGCAATTAGCGACCACTTTAATTCGGTCGCAATTAGCGACCGATTTAGCGACCAAAATATGATTTCATTTTCACTTTTTTATTTAGCGACCGAAATAGCGACCAATATTCTGCGTCGCAAAATTTCGGTGGCTATTTCATACTAAAAAAAAAAATCATTTAGCGACTGATTTAGCGACCGAATTACAAATTGAAATAGTGACCGAATTAAAATTGGTCGCTAATGAGAAAATAATCGATCATTTTATATGATTTTTGCAATATCGCTCAAGCGAATTTCACATCGTTCGAGCGACACCAACTGCTAAGATTGGGAAGTCTCGGGTTGTATTTCGCTTGAGCGACACTATTCTCGCTCGAGCGACATCCGATTCAAACATGAGGTCACCCATGTTACATTATCTGGCTAACTTTTATTGACGTTTACGCAGGTCAACATTCGCTCAAGCGAAAATAACATCGCTCGAGCGACGCCACCTGCACAAAATTGGCATTCTCGGGTTGTATTTCGCTTGAGCGACACTGGTCTCGCTCGAGCGATATCTGATGCAAAAATGTGTCAATAAATAAATAAAATATTTGTCACTTTTAAGAGCAGTTAATATTTTCACCGCTCTTAAAAGTGAACATATAATAGCGGTTCCAAGTGAACCGCTATCTAAAATATAATTAGATAGCGGTTAAGGTTTAACCGCTATTAGATGTTCACTTTTAAAAGCGTGTCCAAGTGGAACCGCTATTATATACAACCACATTTTTTTATTATGATCAATTAAATTTTCAAATAATCGATTATATTCGATAATTTTTTTAAATAATTAATTATAATCGATTAATTTTCTAAATAATTGATTAGTTTTTCAAATAATAGATTATAATTGATTAATTTCTCAAATATATATTAAAAAATTATAAATAAAAATATAAATTATTTAAGAATATTAATTATTGTAAAGATAAAGTAGAACATGGGAGGAGATGAGGATGATAATATAATGATAGAATTTATAAAAATGTAGAATTGAGAAGTTTTAAAAAGAAAAATTTAAAAAAATAGAGATTTAATTATACTTTTAATAAATTTAAGATAATACTAGTTTTGATTTTTATTTTTAAATATTTATTTTAATTTTTTAAAACAGAGAAACTATAATTTTAGTTTCTAAATACTCAATTTAAAGAATTAATTTTATTATTATTTAATATTTTAATTTTAGAATTAAAATTTTTAATTATATTTTATTAAATTAAAATAATTACAATATATTTTTCTACTTTGAGAATGAAAAATATAATTAAACTCAAAACTGAAAATATTATAATACATTTTTGAACTCTTTTGGATTAATTTTTTTTCCTAATTTTTGATAAAGTTAATTTTAATATTTAAAAGTATTTAACATTTTGAATTCTGAAACGTTTTCTCTAATAGCAAATTTAAAAACATAATATTCAAAAAAATAGTTAATGTAAGTTTTCATTATGATCGATTATATTTTGAAATGATTGATCATAATTGAAAATATATAATAGCAGTTCCACGTTAACCGCTATTTAAAATATATTTTAGATAACGGTTAAGGTTTAACCGCTATTAGAAGTTCGCTTTAAGAGCGGTTCCAGTGGAACCGCTATCATATTCAACCACATTTTTTTATTATGATCGATTAGATTTTCAAATGATCGATCATATTTGATAATTTTTTCAAATAATTAATTATAATCAATTAGATTTCTAAATTATTGATTAGAATTGATTAGTTTTTCAAATAATAGATTATAATTGATTAATTTCTGAAATATATATTAAAAAATTATAATTAAAAATATAAATTATTTAAGAATATTAACTATTGTAAAGATAAAGTAGAACATGGAAGGAGATGAGGATGATAATATAATGATAGAATTTACAAAAATGTAGAATTGAGAAGTTTAAAACAAAAAAAATTAAGAAAATAGAGATTTAATTACACTTTTAATAAATTTAAGATAATACTAGTTTTGATTTTTATTTTTAAATATTTATTTTAATTTTTTAAAACAGAGAAACTATAATTTTAGTTTCTAAATACTCAATTTAAAGAATTAAATTTATTATTATTTAATCTTTTAATTTTAGTATTAAAAATTAAAATTATATTTTATTAAATTAAAATAATTACAATATATTTTTCTACTTTGAGAATGAACAATATAATTAAACTCAAAATTGACAATATTATAATACATTTTTGAACTCTTTTGGATTAATTTTTTTTCCTAATTTTTGATAAAGTTAATTTTAATATTTAAAAGTATTTAACATTTTGAATTCTGAAATGTTTTCTCTAATAGCAAATTTAAAAACATAATATTCAAAAAAATAGTTAATGTAAGTTTTCATTATGATATAATAGCGGTTCCATGTTAACCGCTATCTAAAATATATTTTAGATAGCGGTTAAGGTTTAACCGCTATTAGACGTTCACTTTTAAGAGCGGTTCCAATAGAACTGTTATCATATACAACCACATT